TTTTAGTTTATAAGCATGTGTGTTTTTTTCTAATAATTTTTAATAAAACAAACATACCTTTAGTACTTTGGTCCTCTGATAAATATTTTGCATTTGTTTTTTAATTTTCAATAATTTTTCACGATACAACTTGACATCAGTCATCTAAAAAAAATATAAAATATGTTTAAATATTTATTAATTATTACACATTGATCTCCCTCCAATAACCTAAAAAAATTGTAGGTCAATTTTTTTAGGTTAATTTCGAAATTTGGCAATTTCTCCTAGAATTTTCCGCTTTAGGCTGGTGTTGTCAATGGAAGAAGTGTTCCGCACTAAATTTCACTAGGGGTTACCAAACAAACTAAATGTGAATATATAATAGATACCCCTAAAATATCGATCTCCAAATTGGTTAACACATTTTTGAGGTTATTTTCGAAAAATGTCCATTTTAGTCCCGAATACCTCAATTTAGCAGGTTGACATCATAGCAATAAATGTTCTACACTAAATTCCACTGTAGGTCACTGAATAAACTAAAGCTGTATATATAATGGATACCGCTTAAATATAGGCCTCCAAATTGGTTAACATTTTTTGACACATTTTTGAGGTCATTTTCCAAAAATTGCCAATTTCGCCCCTTATACCTCAATTTAGCAGGTTGATGTCAATGGAAGACATGTTGCACACAGAATTTCAGTATAGGTCACAAAAGAAACCAAAGCAGTGTTCATACGAGATACCTCACAAAATTCGATATCCAAGTTACTTAACATATTTTTGATGTTATTATCCAAAAATTTTCAATCTCTTGAACAGGTTGATGTCAATGGAAGACATATTCCACACAGAATTTCAGTATAGGTCATCGAAGTAACTAAAGCTGTATTTAAAATAGATAAACCTTTAAAAATCGATCTAAAAATTGGTCTAAATATTTTTTTCGGTTATTTTTTGAATTGTAACAAAATATCCTACAATATTTCACTATAAAAGAGTGTCGTAAATGAAAGAAATATTTCGCACAAAATTCCAATATAAGTCACCCAACAAGTGTAAGCTCTATGTGTACTAGATACCACATGGAATTCCGACTATTAAAAGAGGTATGAATATTTTTTAGGTTATATTTCAAAATTAGACAAACTCTCCAACGAAACGTCACTTTAGGGATATGTCACCAAAGGGAGAAGGATTCTAAATTAAATTTCACTACTGGTCACCGAACAAAAGAAAGCTCTATATAAACTATTTACCACTAAAATATAGGATTTCAAATTGGTAAATAGATTTTCTAAGGTTATATATGAACATTTTCCCAATTGGACAAATTTTTACAACAATACTTCAATTTAGAGGGATGACGTCAATGAGAGAATTATTCTACATCAAAATTCATGATAGGTCACCGAACAAAGGAAAGCTATATAAATACTATTTACCACTAAAATATGGGATTTCAAATTGATTAATAGATTTTTAAGAATATATTTGAACATTTTCCAAATTGGACAATTTTTTACAACAATACTTCACTTTAGAGGGATGATGTCAATGAGAGAATTATTCAACATCAAAATTCATGATAGGTCACCGAACCAAGGAAAGCTCTATTTACCCCTAAAATATGGGTTTTCAAATTGGTTAATAGATTTTTTAGGTTATATTTGAACATTTTCCCAATAGGGCTATTTTTTACAACAATACTTCGCTTTAGAGGTATGACGTCAATGAGAGAATTAATCTACATCAAATTCCATTGTAGGTCACCGAACAAATCGTATATCTAAACATAATATTTATGCCTTTTATATCAATTTTAAAATTTAATACATTTTTGGTATAAGTTCCTACGTAAATTTTTTAATTCATCAATTTCTCCTCACAATTCTGCACATTCCCTATTAAATCAATTTGCTATATTTTATAGTATTATCCTAAGATAGATATATTTTTGTTTCCCTTACCATATCATGCAGTTTGGCAACTTCACCATTGTCCAGCTTGAATTTTTCCGCTGACAAATCTATATAGATTTTGTTTTGTTTGCCTCTGGAAACAGACAACAATAAGATTTTGAAATAGGATTTTAAATAATAATTTAAATTGCCCACTTACATTAACTCCTTGAGCTGTGTTCTTGCCTTGGCCAGAGGTGGGGAATATGCTTGCATAAAACCCGCTGTTAATTGTGCAGCAGCTAAGGAGGTTGTTGGTTCATCTGTAGTAGTAGTTGAATGTTTGCCATTATTATGGGTGGTTGTAGGTTGACTCTCATCATTGTTTTTATTAGAATTGTTGTTGTTGTTATTTAATAAATTCAAATTATTATTTGTTAATGAGGTTATTTCATTCCCACTACTTGTAGTCTCCGTTTCATCCAACTCCAATGTAGTAGGTCTTAATGCTTCGAAAGTATCGGATGAACTGAATGCAGATAAGTCATCGATAATGCTAGAGTAGAGTGATGGCGTATTTTGGTTCGTTGAAGCGTGTTGAAAAATCAAATTAGAACAACAATTAGTTAATAAACATTTATTTTCGAAATAATAATAGACAGATTGAGCAATAAAAAGAAAACAAATAATGTAGTGAACAACAATACCTGTCGTCAAATTTAGATCGTATCATTGGCATTGGCAAACATTGTTTCACTTATCTTATAATTATTATACAAGCCAATAAAAATGTATATAATTGTCAAGTTTTTTTTTCAGAAGAGGCCTTTTTTTAAAGAGTTTTGTCACAGATTAGTTTAACGTGAGTGGCAACAAAAGGGAGGTGTGAAGGTTTGGGAATAATTGTCTAATAAAAATATACCTATACAGTCGATATCACTTTTAAAATCATTCAAGGGACCGGCGAAGTTTGTAGCTATAATTCGTTGGCTTTATAGCAACATCAAATAAAGGGCAGTACTTCCTTCGACAATTTTGGATTCAGAAGAGTGGGTTCTATTATATATGCAAGGTTCTAGTATATGCAAGGATAATTGTACCTTTTGGGATATGTGGCCACATTCTACGAAATGTCTTAATCCACTTAATTGTTTACATTCTTGCCTGGTCCTCCTTAACAATTCAGCATGATATTCTATTATAATATAGGTATGTGCGACTGACCTACATATATTTTTCTTCTTCTGTTAATCCACTTAACTATGACCTACATATTTCCAAATATCCAACAAGTATCAGTCGAGTTTATATTAGGTATATATTTTTCACTTTTCTATCCTTTGGAATAATACCCTTCTGCCCATCATTGTATTATATTTATTGTCCTATTATTTGTTTGTTTGTATACAAAAATTAAAAAAATAAATTATCGACCTGTTGCTCTAGGAAACCTTTTGAAACCACTCACCTATTAAAGTTATTGCTCTTCAACATCGTTACTCCTCTATATACTGCAGACACTGTTTTATGTTTTCAATAATAATTTGTTTATTATAAAATAATTGTGTAAATAAATAAAATTTCCATTTAATTAAATAATATAAACAAATCACGTACGGAAATGTATTAGAGTTCAAAATGACTGATGGTTCTGTGATATGAACCAAACGGAACTATGCTCAAATGTCATCATGAATTACAAGAAGAGAGTGAGAGAAGAGAATTGCCTGTTAACGTTTTTTAACATGTTTACTGTCTATTTCTATTCTTTTAATTGTCGGTGTTATATTTTAAATGTTTTATTTTTTTAATGTTTATTAAGTTAATTATATAACATTTAATCAAGGAAAATAAAAATAATGGAGTAATTGAGAAGATAAATCAACAGAGATTCTCCGCAATGAACAAGCGGAACTGTGATCAAATGACAGGAGTTACAAGTAGAGAAAGAGGGAGAGGACAAAATAAAAAATGTGAATGTCACATCCTTGTGTTTGCGAATAACGGTGACACATTCACAATGGACTTCATGTATTAGCTGATATTGCCTAAATTTGTCCATTATATATGTTTTATTTTTCAAAAACAGGTATTGAAAGCGTATTTTTTTAAATTGGAAATGTACAGTTAGTACACAACGTATAGTAAGTAACGTGCATACATATCCGGTGACGTATTGAAGCTTTTTTGCTAAATGTCGATATTAGTGTTTTCTTGATAATACCGGAAACTCATGTGGTAACACAGTGCCCCAAATGCACGGGGAGACGCTAATAGGTGTGTTCCAAAAAGTTGATTGAAAACAAATTAGTAAAATAATTTTTGTATGTTGTTTAATTATTAAGAGTATAATCAGAACCGTTTCTTTGTGGACGACATTAGTTGAATTTTGCATCATAATATGGAAGTTTTTAGGGGTATTGTAAGAGAACTTTTTGTCTGCAAAATTATAGGTTCCATTTCGATTATAGGTTCTTATGGGTCTCCGACAGTTGTCTAGAAGTCCCTGTGAGTCGCCCACAGTAGATTTGAGGTCCTTATGGGCAACCTAGAGTAGATTACAGGTCCTGATGCGATACCTACTGCAAATTGGAGGTTTCTACGGTCACTTACAGTAGATTAGAGGGTCCTATAGGTCACCTAATGTTGGCTAAACGTATATGGCCCACCTACAGTAGATTAGAGGTCTCTACAGATCGCATACAGTAGATTAGAGGTTCCTACGAGTCACCTACAGTAGATTAGAGGTCCTATAGGTCACCTAAAGTGGACCAGACGTGCCTATGGGTCACCTACAGTAGATCAGAGGTCTCTACAGGTCGCTTACAGTAGATTAGAGGAATCTACAGGTCACTACAGTATAATAGAGGTTCCTACGGGTTACCTACACTAGATTAGAGGTATCTACAGGTCTCTTACAGTAGATTAGAGGTCTCTACAGGCCACCTACTGCAGTTTAGAGGTTCCTATGGGTCACCTAAAGTGGACCAAACCTGCCTATGGGTCACCTACAGTAAATTAGAGGCCTCTACAGGTCACTTACAGTGGAATAGTGGTTCCTATGTGTCAATTACAGCAGATTAGAGGTATATACATACCCTTACAGTAGGTTAGAGATCTGTACAGGTCACTTACAGTACATTAGAGATCCCTACGGGTCACCTACAGTAGATTACATGTCTCTACAGGTCACTTACAGTATATTAGAGGTTCCTATGGGTCATCTACAGTAGATTAGATGTTCCTACGGGTCACCTACAGTAGATCAGTGGTATCTACAGATCTCTTACAGTAGATTAGAGGTATCTACAGGTCACATACAATAGATCAGAGGTCTCTACAGGTCACTTACAGTAGATTAGAGGTCTCTAAAGGTCGCTCACAGTAGATTAGAGGTCCCTTACAGTAAATTAGAGGCCTCTACAGGTCACTTACCGTAGATTAGTGGTCTCTACAAGTCACTTACAATACGTTAGAGGTCCCCATGGGTCACCTACAGTAGATCAAAGGTTCCTACGGGTCACTTTTAATTTCAATTCCTTGTAGATTTCAAAATCTCTCGTTTTTAAAAACTTTATAAAGACCAGGTTTATTCATTTATGAATATTTTTTGGATATTATTTATTTTATTGTATAATATACACACATATTTTTGTTTTGTTTTAATATATAAATACTAACCTAAATTGCTTTATTTCAAAATGATAAAAAAATTAACTAGAAAATTAAAAAAAAAAACTGAGAAAATTAAAAATAGGGGTTTTACGCTAAAACTAAGTCTCCAGCAAAAAATAAAAAAATGAGAAATATAATATTTACAACATAGGATGTTTGGGGGATACACATTTGAAGTAATCGTATGTATGTGGAAAAAATTTTCAAAACAAACTAGATTCTCTTCCAAAAAATATATCAACCCATCCCGAAAAATAGTTTTTTTTTTTGTTTTCTTCTTAATTTCTATTTTCTTGTGAAGGAAGCCTACTTTTGCGTAATACTACTCCGAATCATATCATCTATTTATCCCTTTTTAAAATCTAAAATATCATCAATGGCTGCCAATTTACCGGCATCGCTATCATCCTTTTCCAATTCGGCCCGTGTGCAACGACCACAACACGCTGCCGATGGTTTATTTTCACATTCACCCAAGGCGGGAGGTTTAAAATTGGGGGTCCATGGCCCCAGACTACCACTGGCATAGAAATCCATGGGATAGGCATCCTCCTTGGGTGCCTTATTGTGTGGCGTATATTCAACATCACCCAATACCACAGAGAGTTCATAGGGATTTAGAAGGGGCTTACTGAAAGCCGAACCCCAATCAATGGATAGGCGAGGGCAGGCAATTTGTACAAATGCATCAATGTCATCGAATAGGGCTAACTTCTGGGGGAATATTTCCGAGAGTAATATGGTAGTGGTATCAAAACCTTTGGCTCTTAGACGTTTCTCTAGGAATTTGTGTACCCGGCTGCTGCCCTGGCGGCCCAGTGTTCCCAATATTATACCGATTTTCTTGGCATTTTTGGCTTTTTCAATTTCTCCATAGCGCATCGATTGCATGGTCGAATGGTCATATTCCTCGATTGTGAATTTCTTTTCATAGGGATCATATTTATAGGCCTAGAAAAAGAAAAGAGACGGATTAGTAACTTTCCAAAATTTTAAAAGTTCCCCAAAAAACTCACCTTCACTTTGGGATTTGCAATCATGGCCGATTCCAAATGAAACCGACCATCCCCCAGATAGATAATCAATTTTGTGGTCTCGGGCAGGGTAGGCGAAGTGCACCCCAATATTTCTCCAGGACTAAGGGGTTTGGCCTGTGGCACAATCACATCATAACCAGCCGCTTTCAGTTCACCCGAAGCCGCCTGCAAAGTGGTTACAAATTGTATGGTACTAACCAGGGCAATTTGTCCATCTTCGGGTTTGAAATTCAACTTCACCGAATCCAAAAAATGCAACGGATCAATTTTGATATCCACAAATACATACAACACCTTAATGCCCTCGGTCTGATCGACGGGTATCAAACAACTATGACCATAATGGACCAATAATTCCGCACCCAATGCCTTGGCTGTGTAGTCATCAACACAACAGGCCCCATAGGTGACATCACCCATAATAACAGTATCGGCATCTGTGAAACGTTCGATAATATCGCTAATGACCATGGCATACATCAGCAAACCTTCAGGTAGCTGCAAGGCCACCCGCTTTGCTTTCATCTCTTTGATACGCCATATTGTTTTATGGATTTCAAAATTGTAATTGGCCGGCAGGCGATCGATGGCCTTTTGCAGTACGGGATCATCGAGAAGCGATTGTGGAATGCGATTTAGGCGGGCCTTAGGTTTGAATACCTTTTTTGGTTTGGCACGAACCACAACCACATCGGTACTGGTGGGCAATGTTTCACTGGAATTCGAGGAGGATACAGTTTGCGGGATGGCGCTACTGATATCAGCAGCTGTCGGTTGGACAATGTCCAACATTTTGAATGCGTTTGGAGAACTGGAAATGTTAAAAAAAAAAAAAAATAATTATTAAAATGTTAATTTTGTTTTGGGGGTAATTAAAATAAGTTAAATTCATAAGTGGGTAATAGAAACCGGTTTTTGCTCATGGAGGACGACGTCAGTTGAATTGTGCGTCAGAGAGATGAGATTTTTTTGTTGGGGTTCATCAGAAAGATTTATAAATGGTATTGGAAAACAATTTTTTTGTTCGGAGAATTATTAGAGGTAAATTAGAGGTCACCTAAAGTAGATTAGAGTCACCAAAAGTAGGTTAGAGGTCCCGATAGGTAGATTATAGGTCCCTATAGGTCACCTAAAGTATATTAGAGGTCCCTATCTGTCACTTACAGCAGTTTAGAGGTCTCTATGGGTCATATGAGGTAGATTAGGGGTTCCTATGGGTCACCTACAATAGATTAAAGGTTCCTACGGTTCACCTACAGTAGATTAGAGGTATCTACAGGTCACTTGCAGTATATAAGAGGTCTCTAGATGTCATTTAGAGTATATTAGAGGTTCCTATGGGTCACCTACAGTAGATTAGAAGTTCCTACAGGTCACTTACAGCATATCAGAGGCTACATAAAGTATATTAGAGGTATCTACAGGTCACTGACAGTAGATAAGAGGTTTCTAGGGGTCATTTACAGTATATTAGAGGTTCCTATGGGTCACCTACAATAAATTAGAGATATCTTCAGGTCACTTACAGTACATTAGAGGTATCTTCCGGTCACTTACAGTACATTAGAGTTTACTACGGGTCGCATACAGTATATTAAAGGTTGCTACAGGTCACTTACAGCATATCAGAGACTACATATAGATTAGAGGTATCTACAGATCACTGACAGTAAATAAGAGGTTTCTAGAGGTTCCTGTGGGTCACCTAAAGTACATTAGAGGTTCCTATAAGACATCTACATTAGATTAGAAGTCCCTATGTGTCAACTACAGTAAATTAGAGGTCCACAGAAGTCACCTACAATTGATTAGAGGTACCAGTGGGTCACCTACTTTAGAATAGTCGACCCTATTGGTCATCTACAGTCGAACAGATGTTTGTAGGCGTAATCTACGATAGACTAGATGGCATCTACAATAGACTACATGCATGTAGATCTTTAAGTCACCTTTTGAAGAATATAGTGTCTTATAGGCTATCTATGGTAGTATAGACGCCTCTATGGGCCATCTATGACACCGAAAGATGGTGTATAGTTAATCTATCATAGAGTAGATAATCTTTTGAGCGTTCTACTGTACAGTAGATGGTCCTATGGTACATCTACTATAGAGTTGATGGTTGTATAGTTCATCTATCACAGAGTATAGGTGGCTATAGATCATCTACAATAAAGTAGATGATCCTATGTCATCTACTGTCGATCAGATGTGCCTTTAGATCCCATCCTATAGAGTAAATGGTCATATGCGTCATCTACAATGGAGTAGATGTTAAAATACATCATCTACAATGTTGTAGATGGACCTATGGTCCATTTACTATTGCCTAGATGTCTCTTTTGGGTCCTGTACTATAACGTAGATGGATCTTTTGGGACCTCAACTACAGAGATGTTCCTTCGGACCATTTTCTGGTCATCTACAATGAAGTAGTTGGACTTATATTAATTTACTATGGAGTAGACGTCTTTCGGCTCTTGTACTATACAGTAATTGTCTTTTTTGGGTATTGTAATATAACATAGAAGTCTCCTTCGGGTGTCTAACTACAGAGATGTTCCTTTGAATCATTTCCTGATTTGAAGATGCTCTTCTGGATCATCAGATATTAAGTAGACGATCTTGAGGTCCAGTAGATGGTATCTCTATCTTCATCTACTTGAGAATAAATATACTGATCGGATCAATTTTTTATAAAAAAAAATCTATTATGAAAGAGATCAAGTAAATATTGTGTTTTTTTCTAGTTTATTGAACTTGTCTCTCATTATCTGGTCTAACAAAGAAACCAAAATCAAAACACTATAAAAAACAAGAGCACCTTGAATTTATGTTAAAAAATGAAAACAAAATTGACTGACTCACCTTTTTTGTTTGGTTTTTGTTTATGTGGATTTGATTTCACTACTCTCTGGCTGGGTTGGTGGGGCTGTTGCTAGCGGTCAGCAACAACAACAATAAAAACAAATATAAAAAAATTGACCAAAATAATCACAAGATGCAGCAGGAGCAGCAATAAAATTTAAATATATTTCCGTATAAACCGATTTTGTAACGAGGAAAACGATTGGCAGCAGGTTGTTTGCAAGGTTAAATTTTGTCGTCAACGGTCACACAGAACAAATTGAGAAAAATGATTTTTTCAAATATTCACAACACAGAGTTTTTTATAATTTTTTTATCACTTCGATGCCTGAAATATTTATTTTTTTTTTAATATATTTATCTCCGGCTTTTTCTTTCTTGCGCTGTCGTTACTTTGAACTTCTAATTGTAAATGACTGAATGATGAAAGGAGGTACTCTCAAACAATAACACACAAATCAGTCAGTCTGCAGTAGAACAGCACATCAAACATCCACCCAAACAAACATTCGCTTTATGCTACTGCTTTGTTGTTTTTGTTGCTGCTGGATTGTATGTGGCGCATATGGTGGTTGAGCACCATTAACAATATCAGGAAAGTCACGTAGGCCAAATTTTGAAGCAAACTGCAGCAAGATATGCTCAGTTATGTTTACTTTTCAATGAAAATTTTATATTTCTTAATTAGATTTTTTATAATTTATCACTTTATTTAGATTCTTTTTATTCTAACTTAACCACTCCGTGTAAAATTATCTAATGTCATACTATTATTAACGCGTTTTTATGCAATAACAAAATCTTTGGGAAAAACAAAACGTGCACGTTGGGTAATTAGGGATGCACAGATCGACTTTTGGTCTGATAGGGTATAAGAGTTCGTTTGTAGGTTTAGCATTGAGGGGATCTATAATTCAAAAAGTTTTTACGTAAAAAGGGGGTTGGTTGTAGATTTTTAAAATTTGAATTGAATTTTTCTGTATCAAATCCGTTAATAATTTAATTGAATGTTTCTAAGAATTTAAATTTGTCCTCAACTATTCATTTGCACTACAATTGCTGTGTTCAATATAATGATTCACTGAATGGCATCATGGGAAACTAGTTGCTTAATGTTGTCAACAAGCATATTTTATTAAGGAATGTTTTATTAAATTTGTATTTAATATAAAATATTGAATAAATGACGTAATAAATTTTATTGTTTTAGCAATAAAAGAATTCAAATTTTCCGAAAAATTAACTTTAATTTCAAAAATGAATTTGCAGCACTACAGTTGTGATTGTTGTGTTCAATGTAACAATTCACTGTATGAAAACCGATGGAAACTAGTTGCTTTTGAGGATATTCTCATCATGCATGTCTAATGAAGAATTGTGTCAATGAAATTGAATTTTCCCTTTATAAATGTCAAATAAATAACATATTTTCATAATAACAAGGTATATTTAACAATTTCTGTATCCATAAGAGCTTATATTAAGGAAATATTAATATGTTTTTTATGTTATATGTTTGAAATAATAAACTTGACACGTGGCCGTTATTACACTGGTAATATTTTTAATTTAATTAATGGCGTTTGTGTGTTTGCTACAGCCTTGACCTAAAATGTTAGGTGCTGCCGGACAGTGGTTTCTGAAATATATTTTCATTAAATTCAATGAAGCCGAAATAAAAACATATTTGTTAAGTCCAATAAAAGCGTTAAATTTTGTATCTACTAGAGAAGGATATATTTTTCATAGTTTGTCCTATTGTAATATTTATCATAAGCGGTATTTGAAAATAATGTATTTGTATATATTATATATAAAAAAAGTAGTAGGTCCCGTAACCATTATATCGCTGTCCGCAAAGATCTCTCTGACAATGATCAGTGTCAGCTGCCATTTTCATTTGCATATAGTGGGGATAAATATGATTATTTTTTTAATATAAATCTCCAACTGACCGATCATACAGGAACCTTGGTTGATGGTCGACTAACCGATAACATTGCCATGCCCGTACGACTTTGATCCGTTGCTTACTGGTTTCATTAAGCGTGGTTTTATATTTGTCGGGATCGGTATCGGTGTTGAGAGTTTCTCTCTCTCTCAGTGGTAAATTGTGAATTGTGTTGGAAAACATTACCACAGGTAGGAACAAAAAAGTACGAAAAGGTACCTGAAATTCTACTTCAAATGATAATAAATCATAATTATCGATAAATATTGGTCAATATTTATACCAGTTATTTGCATAAATAATATATGTTGTAATTTAAGCGTAAATGTATTCAAGAATAATAAAAAAATCTAATTTATGTTTTTGGTACGTTTATGTCAATTCGTACCTTTTGTGAACAAAAAGTACGCTTGTTACAAAATTAAAAAATGGCGCAACTCTAATTACTCTCTCAAGAGAGAGAAACTCTCAACACCGATCCCGATCCCGACAAATATAAAACCACGCTAATAAAAATTCAAAGATACCAGTCAAATGTGAAGCAATTCATGCAGTACTGTAACATAATTTGCCACTTGACATACACCTTCATTAAAGTTGTAACGGAAATGTTGTCATTTAAAGTAACAGCTGATCGCCCATTTAACGGTTTCTGTTCTTTGCTTTAAATTCTTTTGATTTTAAACAAAAAAGCGCTTCGAATTTTCCGAAATGGATAAAATAATGAATTCCAAGGACAAAACAACTCCACTGACTACGAAAAAACTCTATCAACTGCATCCTGAAATGGAGAACATATTAATTGTGGCCATGGTATTGGGTAAAACTGAACCAAATATATTTCTATCGAGGAATGATACTCAGCATAAGGGAGTCATGACATTCACCTTGCGCGATACCCCTCAACACATTGTCAATTGTAAATATTGGGGCACTCGGGAGAAAGTGGAGCAGCTCAATGAACATATACAAATGGGTGACATTGTGGATATTGTTTGCCCGAAAATATCGATGTTAAGTCAAAAGGCCGAGGCATTGGAATCGAAACAGGCTCAATATCAACCGGTTAGCTCATTGCCAATAACATTGGTAGTCAACGAAGGCCAGGGGTTGATTGAGAAACATAGTTATCATGATTTGGATAAATATACGGAGATAAGATTGCTGTCGCATCAGTCCCATAAACCTTTGTATTCCGTTATGAACTTGGCTGATGTCCAGGCGACATTTAGTGATTCCAAAGCTCAGGCATTTCATACGGATTTTTTGGTTGTTGTGGGATTGGTACGTCGGCCACGTGAGATAAATGCCAGCAAGGAGGGCAGACAACGTCGTTGTCTGGAAATTGTGGTATTCGATCAGAGTTTAACAAGTGGCATGACCTTTACCATATGGCATTCGGATTGGATTAATCGTGCTGAAGCCTCATGGCAGCCAATGAAAACGGTGCTACATCTAATTGATGTCAAAGTTTCGTATTCCAATTTTTATAAGGGTTGTATTTTGAGCTTCACCTCGAAGAGTATTATCTATGAAAACCCGGTGGGCACGGAGACGCAGCACTTGAAAACATTTGCTGCAACCTTGCCGAATACACCATTTGATATGGCTGTGCAGGCAAATAATACCGATGCTTTGCCAAAGGGTAAGTCCATGGGAATAGATTTTTGAGAATATTTTAAATTTGGTTTTCTTTTTCCAGCTGAAGATATCCGAACGGTAATGACAGTGAGGCAAATTTATGCCCGAGCCGAGGGTCATTTGAGGGATACCAGTGAACAATTTACCGCCAAGGTATATGCAATGGTGACTCACTTTGATATCGATTGGCCGGAACATGTTTTGAGTAAGAAGTGGTAGGTGAAATATTTTTTTATTTTTATAAAAGACCTTTGGTCCCTATACAGCCCAGCTGGCCTTATTAGAGACCATTGGTCTCTATCAAGCCCAGATGGCCTTAGTAGAAACGAATGGTATGTGTACAGCCCAGCTGACCTTAGTAGAGACCTGTGGTCCTTTTCCTTATTAGATTTTTTTTCTAATCCCTCCTCCTCCTTGCTTCTAGCAAATCCTGCAACCGTTATATCGCTGCCCGCAAAGATCTCTGCGACAATGATCAGTGCCAGCTGGCATTTTCATTTGCGTATTCTGGAGACAAATATGATTACTTTTTTAATATAAATCTCCAGTTAACCGATCATACCGGAACCTTGGTCGAAGCTCGTCTAACCGATACCACTGCCATGCAGATTCTTTCCTTCAATTGTGACCAATATCTCAAACTGAATCAACAAGAATTGGAACAACTGAAATGGCGTTTCCTCCTAAATCATGTCGAGGCGAAACTGCTGATCAAAAAATCCAATATGTTGAGGCGGAAAATGTTGGCCCTGATAATCGATTTGAAACCCATTGAATTGGAACAATTAACCGAAAATATAGCTGTATTTTGAGAGAACTATAAAACAACGAACAAATACAATTAATTTCTTTAGCTAACATCCTCATCGATATCACTGGGCCTTGGGGTGTTGGAGATTTTTTCAATACTCGGTACGGTATATTCCACTTCAAAATCTGTTACCTCCATAATGCATTCCCGCAACTGACGTTTTCTATCTACTTTTAGTACATAATCTTGAAAGCTATTAAGGACATTTCGAAATTCTTCATCGGATGTTATCAGGCGTAGAAATTCATCGGGATTATCGGGATCCAAGGGTTCCATGGTAGTTTGTTGTTGCATTTCAAGTAAAGTTTTCCGTTCCAAATCGGCTGCGGTGAGGCGATGTCTTAATTTGATTTCTTCGACGCGACCCTCGAGCAGTTTACAGCGTAATTGTTCACGTTCGAACATCTGGATGGGAAAAGAAATACTAGCATAATAAGTATATACATAGAGGTCCCAGGGGGCCTCAGAATTTTTTTTAAAAACATAGATGTCTCCGGAGGCATCAGAAATGTTTCTATAAAAATGTAGAGGCCTCTGAAGGCCTCAGATAATTTTCTATGAAAATTTAGAGGCCAATGGAGGTCTCAGGGGGCCTCAGAAAATGTTTTTATGAAAACATAGAGGTCTCCGGAGGCATCGGAAATTTGTCTATGAAAATTTAGAGGTCTCTGATGGCTTCAGACAATTTTCTATGAAAATTTAGAGACCCCCGGAGGTCTCAGGGGGCCTCAGAAAATGTTTTTGTGAAAACTTAGAGGTCTCCAGAGGCATCATGTATTTGTCTATGAAAATTTAGAGGCCTCTGAAGGCCTCAAACAATTTTCTATGAAAATGTAGAGGCCTCTGGAGGTCTCAGGGGGCCTCTGAAAATGTTTTTATGAAAACTTAGAGGTCTCCGGAGGCATCGGAAATTTTTCTATGAAAATTCAGAGGCCTCTGAAGGTCTCAGACAATTTTCTATGAAAATTTAGAGGCCCCTGGAGGCCACAGAAATTTGTTTATGGAAATTTAGAGGCCTCTGGAGGCATCAGGAATTTTTTATGAACATTTAGAGGCTTTAGAAAATGTTTATAGGTCTCAGAAAATGTCCTAAAAATAGTCCTTCAGAAAAATTCTTTAAAAAAATCGTCCCTTTAAAAATACTCACCGCCACCATCAGAGCCTTATCCTTGCTGGTACTATGTTTCATGGCCTTATCCATTTCCAAAATTTGTATATCACCATTACCCAAACCCACAGCCAGAAATTCTCCATCGGAACGGAATCGTACACTCAACACCCTCGAGGAAAATTTCACACTAAATATCGGCAGCCTTTGACTCAGCAACATATCCCAGAAATCCAATTCCCCTTCGATATCCCCAGTAACAAACAAAGAACATCGAGCCGTACTCCAACTGCCGCATAAAATCTGATGACGCTTCTTCACCAAAAATGTCAGCGGAGACCCTTTGCATTCCTCAGCCCAAATCTTGGCACACCAATCTCCAGTTATCAGGAAATTCTTAACAAAAAATGGATTCCTTTCCACGCTGCGTATGGGTCCATGAAATAAACGATAATTCCCCGCAGCCAGGGTTTCCATCGGTGTCATACCCTTACGATTGCCAATGAAAATGCTGCCCATATCGCTGGCCACAATGAAGCGGATCGGTATGGTATATTCAAATTCCATTACTGTGACACCATGCGATCGCGACCTGACTTGGTCATCAGTCATTTCCGGGTCCATAAGTAATTCTTGCAGGGGATTATCCAAATTTCGACCATCCCAATATTTCACCGAACCATCATAGGAGCCGGTATAGAATTCGGTATTGGTTTTGGAGTGAACCCAGCATAAGGTTGCCACCGGTTCACGGTGAGCAGCTTCCAAGGGACATAGGCTGACCGGCTGGCCCCCCATTTTCGAATTCCAAAGGCATATTTTACCCGATTGCAAGCCTCCGGCAATCCAATTTTCATCTTTGGGACAATAGAGGCTCTTCAAGACCTTATCATCGGAATTAAAGGTGATCATGGGTTTCAGAGGATTCTCCAGGTTCCAGATGTAAAAATCATTGGTGTTCAACACCGGTTCCTGCTTAACCAGGGGGGTTAGTAAAGTTATTTTCTTTTTCTCCTCTTTGCGAACCAGCTCCTTTTTATTAGCCTCCTCTCCTGGCAGGGGTCTCTCCAAGGGTATATTTGTATGTAAGACCAAATAACGCCTCACATCATTTGGCGTCCAATCGAGCACCGAAACCGGACGCCGTATTATTTCTGGATCATGGAAAATATTTTTTTGCCTTGACTCAAAGGCGGATTTGATATCCTCTCCACCACCGCCACCCGATTCGGTGGTCAAATCCACAAAAAAATCCTGATAAATATTCATCGTGGTATTCTCTTCGGCCACATCGACGGCATGGTGTATCAAACCGATCACCTGGCCACCCCAATTATCATCACGTTCGATTTTTTTACGATGCCTCAGGGTGGACTCTTCATCTTTGATGTTGACCTCCTTGGGCCAGCCTCCCTCATAATGATACATACCATGTTCGGCAAGGGTAACATTTTCCGTTTCCATTATGGTATAGGCCAGCTGGCGACCCAGCTGGGTGGCCTGGTGTACCGGATTGCGTAATACGAACTGACATCTCTGCCTTTTGCTGGGATTAATGCTCAGCATTAGTTGGTTGCGATCACTGAACAGACATTGGCGCCCAAAGCGGCGTCGTTCGCGGGTATAGACGAATTGATTGGCGGAATACATTTTTTTGGGAAGGAGGAGGAGGAAAAGAAATTATTTTTTTATTTTTAAATTTTCAAGGAATTTTTTTTGTGAAAATTTGAAAATTATTTTGACAGCGAAACAAAATGGAATGGAACACAAAAACGATAATAGGCTTGGATTTTGTAAAATTTTTTTCGAAGGACTAAAAGGCCAATAGGTGGGGATTTTTTAAAGAATTTTTTCGAAGGACTAGGTGGGACAATAGGTGGAATTTTTTAAAGAATTTTTTTCAGAAGGACTATTAGGACAATTGGCGTGGATTTTTTTCGAAGGACTAAAACGACAATATTTTTTTTTTAAGAACCTCTAAGACCTCGGCAGGACACTATATTTTTTTAGAAAAATTTCTGAGACCTCCGAAGACCTCTTTATTTTTTAAAAAAAACTGACCTCGTATGCTTTAAAGAAAATATTCTGAAGCACCCGCAAGCAGAGATATTTTAACAGAACAATTTCTGAGGCCTCCGGAGGTCTCTATATTTTGAAAATAAACAAATCTGAAGCATCTGGAGGTCTCTTTATTTTTTAATGACTCCTCAATATTTTTATAGAAAAAATTTTGAGACCTCCGGAGGCCTCTATATTTTTTAAGAAAACTTTATATTTTTAAAGAATTTTTTTCTGAATAATTTCTGAGGCCTCTATATTTTTAAAGAAACATTTCTGATGCATCCGGAGTTCTCTAAATTTTAACAGGAAAATTTCTGAGGCAAAACATTCTGAAGTATTCGGAGGCTATTGGACGCCTCAATATTTTTATAGAAACATTTCTGAGGCCTCCGGATGTCTATATATTTTTAAAGACAACTTTCTGAAGCATCCGGAGGCCTCGATATTTTAATTGAAAATTTTCTGAGGCCTCCGGAAATTTTTCTAAAAATTTCTGAAACCTGTGGAGGTCTACAGATGTTTGTTGTAAAATTTCTTAGGCCTCCGGAGGCCTCTATATTTTTAAAGAGAAGTATCCGGAGGGCTCTTCATATTTTATTTACATTTTCTGAAGCATCCGAAGGCCTCGATATTTTAAAGGGATTTTTCTGAAGCATCCAAAATAGAAACTTAGTTAAATGAGTATTTTTAGAATTGTGGCAATTTCTTCCACTGTGTTTGTCTTTAGAGAGTTCCCACCAATGAAAGAAATGTTCTACACAAAATTCCAGTATGGATCACCGAACAAATCGAATCCGTAGGTGCACATTGCTATTGATAAAAATATCGATTTATTAGAGAATAAATACGTTTTCTTCAATATTTTTATATTTTTGAATTTGTATCAATTTCTCCCACTGTGTTTGAGTTTAGAGGGTTGCTACCAATAAAAAAAATTATCTGCACAAAATTTCACTATGGGTCACTGAACAAGCGGACTTCGTAGATGTCATATTACTACTAAAAAATACCGTTATAAATGGTACTATCGAAATGCAAGCTTAGTTAAATGAGAATTTTTTGAATTTTGGCAATTTCTCCCACTGTACTTTTTTTTTTAAAGGTTTGCTACCAATGAAAGAAATATTCTCCATAAAATTCCACTATGAGTCACTGAAGAAGCGGAACTCGTAGAAGATATATTACTATCGAAAAAAACCCTAATAAATGAGGTCTACAAAATAGAAGCGTAGTTAAATGAGTGTTTTTGGAATTGTGACAATTTCTCCCACTGTACTAGATTTTAGAGGGTTGCTACCAATGAAAGAAATATTATACACAAAATTTCACTAGGGGTTAAGGAACAAGCGGACTTAGTAGATGTCATATTATAACTAAAAAATACCGTTATAAATGAGGTTTTCAAAATAGAAACTTGGTTTAATGAGTATTTTTAGGATTGTGGCAATTTCACCCACTGTATTTGATTTTAGCGGGTTGCTACCAATGAAAAAAATATTCTGCACAAAATTTCACTATGGGTCACCGAACAACAGAAATCAATATTCCTATTCATATATCGGATAAAATGTCGATTTAAATTTTGGTTTAAAAATACATTTAGATTTTTTTTAATATTTTCAATTTTAGCAATTTCACCCACTGTTCTTTATTTTGGAGGGTTGCTACCAAGGAAAAAAATATTTTACACAAAACTTTACTATGGGTCACCGAACAAAAGAAATCGATATTCCTACTCATATATCGAAAAAAAATCGATTTTAATTTTGGTCTCACAATTAATATTTTCCACTTTTTTTTAATATTTTTCCACTTTTTGCAAATTCTCCCACTGTTCTTGATTTTAGCGGGTTGCTACCAATGGAAAAAATATTCTACACAAAATTTCACTATAGGCCACCGAACAATAGAAATCTCTAAATATAAAATATATATCAATTTTTATTAATATAAAAATGAAATTATAAATAAAAACATATTTGATATATATTATATATAGATTCTAAATTAAAGCGATTTCTCCCATTGTTCTTGATTCTTGTGGTTCCCTACCAAGGGAAAAAATATTCTAGACAAAATTTCACTATGGGTCACCGAACTTAAGAAATCTCTAAATATAAAATATATAACAATTTCTATTAGTATACAAAATAAAATAAAAAATAACCAAATAATATTATTAAATTTCATATGCTTTCCAATTTGAAGCAATTTCTCCCACTGTTCTTGATTCTAGTGGTTCGCTACCAAGGGTAAAAATATTCTACACAAAATTCTACTATGGGTCACCGAACAACAGAAATCTCTAGCTATTATATTTTAACAAATAAATATACAATTTATATTGACTTTATGTTAAATATTAATACAAAATTAAAACACACTCGTTTTTTTCTAAATATACATAGATAGAATTGTTGTTGTTGTTTTCTTTTATTTTATTTTTTGTTTATTAAAAGCTGCTATTATTAACTTAAGTTATAAACAGTTTTGTTTTTATATAGAATTTGTTGGCATTTTATATATATAATCATCAATTTTTATTTTCATTTTTTTGTTATTTAAACAGGAGTTTTTTTTTAATTTAACAAAAATTGTTTTGTTGTTGTATTTTGTTGTTTTTTATAATGAAATCAAACATTATCAACGATATGTATTATAAGATAACCATTAAAAAAATTAAAACCAAAAAAAGGAAATTAAAAAAAAAAAATAATTTTTTTCCAAAGAACCAAAATTAAAATTAAAAGAAAAATATTGCGAAATTATTCTCAAAAAGAACCAAATTTTTTATTGTTTTTTCTTTATCATTTAGGAATTTACCAAATTCCTTGGTTTTTTGTTCAAAGAACCAAAATCCAAAAATTAAAAAAAAAATTGAAACAAAATAAAAAAAATTTTGCGATTTGGTCTCAAAAAAAAAAATAAATTAAAGAACCAAAATCCCTTTTGATTTTTTTTTATCATTTAGGAAATTATCAAAATTCCTTGGTTTTGAAAATTGTATTTTTTTTTTAAAGTTTTCTAATTTACCAAAATTTGATTTTTAATATTTAATAGTTATTTATAAACAAATAATATAATATATTTTTTGTATATATAAAAATATCAGACTTAACTAGAAAAGATTCATTCAAAATTCATCGACTATATATATAACTGATATAAAGTTTTGAAACATCAGCAAAATGAAAAAAAAACAATGTGGCAGAAATTTACTTAAATTTTAACAATCATTGTTTTTTTAGGTTAGGTTTTGTGTTTCAAAATCATATTTCGTTTGTTTCATAAATTTCAAATTTGTATTTATTTTTACCACAGTTATTCGTTTTGGTTTTTTAATATTTAATTTTTTATTTTTAATATTATTTTTTACAGTATTTGCGTTCTACACAGACAGTAGATTTTTTTTAAATTTTAATTTTTTGTTTTTGTATTTAATATTCTTCTTCTTGATCCATACAATATTATATCACTTTTTTTTAGAAATAGCCTTCCTCTTGAAACTTAATACTTGTTTTGTTGTTGTTGTTGTTTTTTACAATAAATTTTATTTTTGTTTATAGTAATATAAAGAGAGAGGAAAGACTTTACTTAAAAAAAATCAACATCACCATCATCATACCCTAAAGTCTCTTATACATTCATCAGTTCACTTCAAATAACATATACATACATATAATAATTTCTATTTTTTTCATAAAGATTTCCATTTTTCAATATTTTTTTTTCGGTTTAGGTCAGTATTGTGTTTTTTTTTTTTATATCACCATGAGCTTTAATAATAATAAATTAAAAACAAAATCTTTTCGAAATTCAAAAAAATTTACAAAGAGAAAAATTTCAAAAATTGTGCCGGTGGCACTGGCTGTATCAATGTCAATTGGCTGCCGGCTTCCTCTAACCTCTGCTTATAGTCAGGACTTTGATCGACAATACAGGGATGACCATCTGAGGGCCAAAAGAGACAGCAGCAATAACGACACAGTGATAATATCTCAGCAAATTGATAATCATCGTTGAGACCATAGGTCCGTCTTAGCTGATGATAGAATTTCTTCCAATCTTCGACATCGTTGAGGCTTTTTAATTTATTCAGTTCCAAAATCGAATCGATTTGATTTTGATTGAAATGGAAACGTATCAATTCGCGCCATATGCGATGTTCATTGACCAGTTTGGACATGATTTTCCAGGCATCAGCAGAGGCCTAAAATCGAGAAAAAGAAAATGGAAAATTAAGAAAAAAGAAAACTTTTCGAAAATTATCGATAACATTATTTTATAAAGAAAATAATATCGATAATAATATTTTATTTCGATAATATTATCGATAATAAAAATTATATTTAAAAATATTATCGATAACAATATTTTCTATTGAAAATACCTTCAATAACAATATTTTCTTTGGAACATTCTATCGATAACAATGTTTTCCTTATAAATTATTATGGATAACAATATTTTTTTTGAAAAAATTAAAATATACTATCGATAACAATACTTTCTAAAGAAAATACTATCAATAACAGTAATTTTTTAAGAAAATTAAAAAAATATTTTCATTAACAATATTTTCTATTGAAAATATTTTCGATAACAATATTTTCTTTGGAAAATTCTATCGATAACAATGTTTTCCGTATAAATTATTATCGATAACAATATTTTTTTTGAAAAACTTATCGATAACAATATTTTCCATAAAATATACTATCGATAACAATACTTTCTAAAGAAAGTACTATCGATAACAGTAATTTCTTAAGAAAATTAAAAAATATTTTCTATTGAAAATATCTTCGATAACGATATTTTCTTTGGAAAATTCTATCGATAACAATGTTTTCCGTAGAAAATATTATCGATAACAATATTTTCTTTTGAAAAAATTATCGATAACAATATATATTTTTCTATATTATCGATAACAATTCTTTGAAAAAATTATCGATTACAATATTTTCCATAAAATATACTATCGATAACAATACATTCTAAAGAAAATACTATCGATAACATAGTTTTACCTTAGTAGTTAATATCGATAACACCATTTCTTGAAAAAATGTTATCGATTACAATACCCTCTAAAGAAAATACCATCGATAACATTATTCTCTTTAGTAAATATTATCGATAACAACATTTTCTTAGGATAATATTATCGATTACAGTATTTTCATTATATATTTTCTTTAGTAAATATGGTCGATAACAACATTTTCTATAGAAAACGCTACCGATAACAATTTATAGAAAATGCTATCGATAACAGTATATTCCCCTGAAAATATTGTCCATAACAATATTTTATGTAGAAATTATTATCGATAACAATATTTTTTCAAATATTATTATCGATAACAAAATTTCCTTAAGAAAAAAATAACGATAAAAACTTTTTATATTTAAAAAATTATCGATAGCATTATCGATAACAGTGTTTTCCTTTCAAAACATGACCGATAACAATATTTTCTTTTGAAAAAATTATCGAAAATAGTATTTTCTTTTGAAAACATTATCGATACCAGTATTTTCTTTTGAAAACATGATCGATACAAATATTTTTATTTGTAAATATTATCGATAAAATTAATACTGATGGAAAATATTATCGATAACAATATTTTCTATGAAAAATCATTATCGATAACAATATTTCTGATAGCAAATGTTATCGTTAACAATGTTTTCTATGTAAATTTGTCTCCATTGTAAATGTTATCGATAACACAGTTTTTTTCATATCTTACAAATACCTACCTCCAAATCCCTGTGATCGGCAATCCGCAATATTATCTCTCGTATACATTCTTCAGGTAAATCGTGCAATTTTGGACGTATTTCGGGGCCAGGCTAGAAAAACGCAAAAACAAAAATCCCAATTTAGTAAAAGCCGACTTGACATGTGGCCAGGCCACTTTAAATGTAATCATCGATCAACTTACCTCCTTGATTTCAATTTGATTGGCTAGCTGTTGGATCCGCTTAATGGTCTCGACATGTTCCTGCCACAGATTGGAGCTACCCAACGGTTTGCCCCAGCACTTTTGATTCTCCTGATAGACGATGTGTTGCAGTTGCAGTGCCAGGCCGCGCAACACATTCAAATGTTGTTGGCTGTCACTAACTGTAAACGAGAGAGAGCGAGAAGGAAATGGAAAGAAACGAAATGAATAATGACATTAGAAATTAAGAGGAAATAAAATCAAAAGTTGGAGCTTCGTTTGTCTGTCGTACCATGTGAGGCCACTTCTTCGACCATTTGCAACAGTTGCTTCTGGGCACTGCCCGACAAATTGGCAATGCCTTTGTGGGCCACCAGCAGCCGCAACAGCGCCACAATGTAATGGAAGCGTCGTCGATCGCGCACCGAACTACGGAAATCCAAACGTCGTACGGCTTCACCGAGACCATTAAAACCGGCTATTTCGCGGGTACATCGAATCGTGATGTGGCAGTGTGGTGGTATGGTTTCCTCGTTGTTGTCGTCACTTTCATAATTATCTTCGTTAGTGGATGGAAGTCTGTGTGTGTGGGGAAAACGAAAATAGAAAGGAATGCAAAATTAGTAAAATAACAACAAAAAACTACAACACCAAAAACTTGGAGTAAATGAACTTTTGCATTTTTTTTTTGTTTCTGTTTTGTTTTGATTTCGGTGGTGACAACAGCAGATGATCAGATGATCATCGTTTGTTGTTGCTTCAGTGCAAAATTAGGTTGGTCGGTTGTTGCTCCAAAGGAAAAATATAATTAGCCAGCCAGCCAAAAATGGAAAAGCGTAGCAGGCAGCTGTTTTTCAAACGCTTTCCATTAAATTAAAGTGGAAATATTTGAAGCATACCAACAAAAAATAAATTGAGGCAATTTATTTTAGTTTTCAGTTTTGGAAAGTGTAACAAATCATGATTTTTAATTTAAAAAATAACGATAAGGAATTTTCTATGGAAACATAACAATATTTTCTATATAAATTGCTACCGATGACAATATTTTATATTAAAAATATTATCATAATTTTGTCAATAAAAATATATCGAAAACAATTTTTTTATCGATAACAATAACTTTCATAACCGATGACAATATTTTATATTAAACAAATTATCGATAACTGTTTTTTTTAAAGAAAGATATATCGACAACAAATTTGTTATAGAAAGTAATATCGATAACAACATTTTCAATAGCAAATACTAGCGATAATAATGTCGATAACAATAATTTTCATAGCAAATAATATCGATAACAATATGTTCTATTAAAATAGCATCGATATTTTTTTTTTGTAAAATATATAATCGATAACAATATTTTTGTTGAAAAATAATATCGATAACAATATTTGTTAATCAAAGTATTATCGATAACACTATTTTCTAATAATAGTCCCTTCGATAAGGATATGCTCTACAGAATATTGTATCGATAACAATATTTTCTATGAAAATAGTATCGATAACAAATATTTTTAAAAAGATAGAAAATAATATCGATAACAATATAATAATATCGATAACAATAATTTGTATAGAAAATAAAGTCGATAACAATAATTTTCGTAGAAAATAATATCGATAACAATATGTTCTACGGAAAATAATATCGATAACAAAATTGTTTGTTGCAACTAATATCGATAACAATATTTTCTTTCAATAACATTATCAATAACACTATTTTCTACATTCCATTCCATTCTACGTAAAATACTATCGATATCAATATTTTCTATAGAAGATAATATCGTTAACAAAAATGTTTAAAGAAAAATATATCGATAACAATTTTTTTATAGATAATAATATTGGTAACAATACTTTCAATAGAAAGTACTATCGGTAACGATATAATAACATCGACAACAACATTTTTTGTAGAAAATGATATCGATAACAACATATTTATAGAAAATAATATCGATATTGTTAGCGATAACAACAGTTTCTATGAATATTAATACCGATAATAATATCTCACATAGAAAATAACAACGATAACAACATATTTTATACAAAACTTTATCGATAGCAGTATTTTTCATAGAAATGATATCGATTACAATATTTTCTATAAAAATTTGTATCGATTATAATATTTAATATAGAAATGTCTAAAGATAACATTATTTTCTATAGAAAATAATATTGATTACAAATTATTATTATCGATAATAATATTTGCTAATAGAAAATAATATCGATAAGAATATTTTCCATAGCAAATAATAACAATAATGCTGTTTTCAATAGATAATATTATCGATAACAATAATTTCTATACAAATTATGATCGATAACTAAGTTTTCTATAGAAAATAATACAAATAACATTGTTTTCAATAGACAATATTATCGATAACAATATTTACTATACAAATTATTAACGATAACTACGTTTTCTATAGAAAATAATAACGATAACAACATTTTCTATAGAAAATAATACCGATAACACTATTTTCAATAGAAAATAATAACGATAACGAAATTTTGTGTACAAAATAATATCGATAACACCAGTTTCAATACATAAAATTATCGATAATAATATTTTCTATAGAAAATAATATCGATAACGACATTTTATATAGAACATTGTTTTCAATAGATAATATTACCGATAACAATATTTTCTATACAAATTATTATCGATAACCATATTTTATATACAAAATTATTATCGATAACTATATTTTCTGTACAAATTATTATCGATAACAATGTTTTCTACAGCAAATAATACCGATAGCAATATTTTCAATAGATAATATTATCGATAATATATACAGAAAAATATCGATAATAATTTTTTCTATTAACAATTTATAAAAAAAAAATTGTTATCAATTTTTTATAAGAAAATATTTTTAACTTTATTTGTTCTCGAAAAAATAAGAGAAAGTATTTCTTTCCAAATAAATCTTGCCCAACAGTTCATTCAACATTTTTTTTTTTAAAAATAATTTAATGCCTAGGAAAATTGTCGCCAGCGTGTGTATATATACATATATATTTTGATTTTTTGTAAATTACTAGATTCCAAAATAATTTTCTTTTCATTTGAAATTTCTATAAATATCGAACGATTTTTTCCTGTTAACTTCACTAAAAAAAACACAAAAATTAAAACAAAAAATATGACCGATTTTTCATGTTTCGACTTGTTTTCCCTTTTCCTCTTTCCCTTTTGGCCACATGTGACAGATAAATCATCGAACAACTGGCTGACTGACTCAACGACTGAATGACGACGATGTCAAGTCATCAAACGTTCATTTACCTTTTGGTTTATATTTTCCGTATAATTTTCCTCGACACCACAACCCTCCCTGCTTAAATCGCTCCCCCAACCCAACCCAACCCAGCCCACCACTTCAATGCACTCTCGGTGCAATGCAGAAGAAGTTCTAGGCAAAGCTACCGCCGCAGAGTATAAAAATAAATTCTCTGTTTTCCTCCTCCTCCTCCTTCTCGTCATCATCATCATTACCAGTAGCGCAAAGGAACAATTCCCTCCTTCCCCTTTCTCTTTCGTCTTCTTCAGATATGGAAAAACAAGAAAGAAAGCCCGACCGACAGATAGATGGACGGACGGACGAACAGACATCGTTGAATGGGCATCATCCATCCATTTGGAGTTGGAATTTGGATTTATTTTCATTTTCTCTTCTCGGTTCTGTTTTTCTATTCGATATGCATATTTTTGTAAATTGTTGTTGTTTTAGTTGTCGTTGCTGTTGCTTCTGTTTCTGTTTAATTATACATAGAATAGGAGTATGAATGTATGTATGTCCGTTTGTCTGTCTGTATGTAGATGCCAGGGCACAATAATATCTATCTTTGGCCATAGAGAGTTGGTACTTTCAACTTAACAAAAAAAAATTAAAAAAAAAATAAAACGAAATAAAAATGAATTGAAAGCAACAACAGTTGTTGTTGTAGTTTTATTTTTAAATACAAAAACATTCCGAGAACAAAGACGGAGAAATGGAAAATTGAAACATTTCTATGAGTTCTGGTTAATGAAGCAGCCCGCCAGTCAGTCAGTGAACCAACCAGCCTCTGTAACTTAATTAGTGAAACAGAAGATCTGAGGTGGGATGTGAGTCAGAACACAGTGGGATGGGAATTTTGAAAAAAAAATTATGAAACATTTTTTTTATCGATTATTTTTCTATAGAATACATTGTTATCGATATTATTTTCTATAACAAATATTGTTATCGAAATTATAATCTACAGAAAATATAGTTATCGATAAAGTTTTCTATAAATTTTGTTATCGATATTATTTTTTATAGAAAATATTATTATCGATATTTTTCTATATATTTTTTTATCGATATTATTTTTTATAGAAAATATTATTATCGATATTTTTCAATATATTGTACTGTTATAGATATTATTGTCCTATAGAAAATATTGTTATCGATATTATTTTCTACACAAAATATCGTTATCGTTATTATTTTCTATAGAAAATATTGTAATCGATTTTATTTTCTATAAAAAAAAAATTGTTATCGATAATATCTATTGAAAATAGTGTTATCGGTATTATTTGCTATAGAGCAAACGTTGTTTTATCGGTAATAATTATTTTTTATTTTTTATATAACAAAATTACTTATCCATAATTTTTTGTATAGAAAATACTTTATCGAGAATATTTTCTATTGAAAATAGTGTTATCGATAGTATTTTCTATAGAAAATATTATTATCAACATTATTTTTTTAATTGATATTTTTTTACTATAACAAATATTATATCGATAATTTTTTCTACATAAAATATCGTTATCGATATAATTTTCCGTAGAAAATAATGTTATCGATAATATTTTCTATAGAAAATATTATTATTGAAATTATTTTCTCTAAAGAATATAGTTATGGATATTATATTGTATGTTCCTGTAATTGCATTTTTTTTACTATTTTTTTCGATAACATAAAGGAAAAAAGTGCTATCGTAGTAAAAAATAGTAGATTCTTGCAGTACGGGAACAGACCACAATAGTTGTCGACAATATTTCCTAAAGAAAATAATATCGATAACAATGTTTTCGTGAGAAATTCTTATCGATAACAATATTTTCTATTTTTTATAATATCGATTAAAATATTTCTACGAAAAATACTATCGATAAGAATATTTTGCGTAGAAAATATTATCGATAACTATATTTTCCGTGGGAAATGTTATCAATAACATAAAATTTTCTGGAAATTTTTCGATAACAATATATTTTCTAGAAAAAAAATCGATAAAAATAATTTTTATAGAAAGCATTATCGATAACAATATTTTCGTAATAAAATCTTATCGATAACAGTATTTTCGTTCTTCTGTAATTTCGATAAAATAATGTTTAAAGAAAATAATATCGATAACAATATTTTTTTATAATAAATAATATCAATAAGAATATATTCGTAATAAAATCTTATCGATAACAATATTTTCGTTTTCCGGTAAATTCGATAACAATATTATCTATACTAAATAACATCGAT